CAGCAAACAAATCCTGGAACATCTGGAAGGCTCCCTTCCCCAAGGAAAGGCGAGACATAATCTGTCAGACCCCTCCTGAAATGGATCAAAAATCGGCGCACTGCGTACGGGCGCAATGCATCCTAGGTTCGGCCTCCAAAAGATCCATCATCCAAGCCGCATTGAACTACAGCAAAAGAAAATATCGAGATCGACGGATTCCAAAAATGTCCTGGACAGGAGGTGAACAGACGATGCGTAGACCAAGCTCCTATCGTCGATGCAGTACATCCTCAAGAAACATATTTCCCGACTATGTGGTGAATTCAGGAGAACGATACAAGCTACTCACCTGTGAACAGCTCATGCAACTCACTGCATTCTTCGGGTTGGCACTTGGATCACTGGACGCTCGTTCCTGCCTGAAGGCTCAGGTGATTGGTCATCTGGGCTTTGGAAATTCCAAACAAATCATTGCCTTCCCGCCGCGGAATTTCCCCACCGCAAGCGCCGGTGTCTATGGGTTACCCGTTTACCCGTTTTTGCAACCTACCCGCGGGATTCCGCGCGGCTTGTCGGGCGACGGCGGATCTACTGAGCTGTCTGGCGCACCTGGTAGTTGATCTGGCGGTGGCATCGGATGATCGGGTTGATCAGGATCCGACATGTGCTGGTCTGGTGGACTTGGAGGTCTGCGGTTGATCTGGTGGCTGCAGATCATTAGGTAGTTGTGGTTCATCCAAAACATCTTGTGGATCTGTCTCCATAGCCATGATGGATGGCCAGCAAATCCGGGAATGTACTGCGAACGTTCCCAATTAGACGCAGGCATGACCCTGTTCATCTGATCAGGTTGGCATAGAGCTATATATGCATCGTCCGGAGGTGATGTGAGCGGCATGTTGACGCCAACTGCGTGGAGGTATGCGCTGCATTCGTCAAACTGAGTGGGTGGCACGCACAAGGTTCTCAGCTTCTTCAACCCGTCCACACGTTTTCACATCGCCAGTCGTTTGGATCTTGTCAAGCTCAGTACCTGGCGGGTACTGCTTCATTGTCTTCTGTAGCTTCTGGACTAGCGGATCTTGGATGACCAACGGTACATTCTTGTTGCGTGGGAAGTCTTGCGCTTTGTTCCTTGCGGAGAAGATCAATCTGCTGAATGGCTCAAAAATGTCCTCTACAAGGTACACCCGAGTTTGGTCCAGCTTTCGAAGGTGCCTGCATCGCCTTCAAGTTGTTGATGCTCAAGTTTCCGAGCTGGAAGTTGGTCTCATTACCTCAGGAGGTAGGTATCTCCTGCGCTTCAGCTGATATCGTGCCTCGAATTCAACCATTTAGTTTTGCTTTCGCTTTTTCCGTTGGCCTTGTTGGATGTTCTCCATTTTTGACCATGGAGCGCACACTTGTGCCATGAGGATGACATCAGGCGCTTGTTCCCTTCAAATTCATTACGTCAAATCCGTTGCGGATGCCGACAGGTGTTCCAGCCTTTAGACCTGCAAGCGCGCAGCATTGGCTGAATCTTGCACTTCCTGCAAAGAGATCTCGAGAACATGGCTTTTCCTGCGCGTACACAATTCCAATGCGCCTGTTCAGGAATGGATTTGAGACCCTCTACAAGCATGTTCTGCGCAGCAGGCTTAGGAGTTGTCTTTTCGTCGACGCGTAATGGCCGTGAGGCGGATGGTTCAGGAGCCGGCATGGATGGCTCTTTTCCTCTCGAATCAAATGAGGAACTCCCGTGCTCCCGCTGAAGAGAATCTTTCTCGTCTGGCAACAAAGGATCAATTGCTGGTTTTTCAGGTGGGATGGTTTCATTGGTTACCTTGATGCGTTGAGTTCCAAGATCAAGTCCAACCATTGCTCCGGTCGATGGAAATGACCTTCCCTTCTAGCCATAAGCCTCCTTTGCTTCCATCGCAACGAATCTTGGATTTGTCTTCCTGCCAGTAGAATACCTCGTCCCTTGAAGAGGCCTGGAGCTCATTCGGAGAATCTGAGCAATGTCTCTTCGGATGTCGTCTGACTGACGAGCTTGGAGGATGAGATCTGCTGCTCGTCTTCCGATTGCGAGTTCCGATGCACCCCCATAGGTGACGGTCTGATTTCTGACAGTTAGCAGGCGCTGCGCCTGCCTTGATGGAGTTGAGCAGGATCTTGAGCTGCGCCGTCAAAAGATGCACTGCTGCTTCAGCTCGCTTTCGTCACGTTGTGTTTGCTCCCAGCAACGTCGGGTTTGACGCCGAGGGATTGATAAGTGCTCTAATGTCTCAGTCATGAAAGCTTGAAAGTTGTTCCAGAGGACAGTGAGGTTCTCGACTCCCAGCGTGGTATTCACCGACTCTGCAGTGAGCAATGTTGTTGCTCCATCCAGGATGACAAACACAATGATGTGTTCTCTGGTCCATCACTGAATGCCATGTCTCCGAATGTGTCTGCTCGAACTCCACTCGTTTTGCTTCTGGATGGCGCTTGTTTTGCTGCCTGGCAAGCTTCGCACACATTACGAATGTTCCCAAAAAGATTTTGGCAAGTGAAGCGCGCGAGATCTGAATCGAAATTGGTTGGTACGCATGTGACGATGCTGTAGGTGGAGCTTCTTTCTACTCTTCTGGATTGGACAGTTGCTGATGGATTCTGCCTAAGGCAAGTTGAAGCAATGTGGCCTTTCTTTTTGGTGGTCCTATCTGCAGCAGAACCTGCTTCTCCGCCCTTGGGCGAATTTGTCAGGGCAGGTGAAGATGATCTTCCCTTCCACAGGTTCACCATTGGATTGATTTCTTGGGATGTAGTACGTCTCCAATTGTCTTCAAGGATGTCTGGTTATTATCTGAGTGGCACGTTCTCGGCTGCTATCAGGATCAATTCGGCGTTCCTACAGCGTGAACCATGCCTTCCGAGGCGTGATGCGAACACGAGTGGGCTGCTTGTTCTTCTTCTCAAGCACCCCATGATCCTGCTTCTGAGTCTTCGGAATTGCTGTGTCCTCCTTCGTCTCGGATGACTTGGGCGCCAAACAACTTCATCCTTTGATGGCCTCGGGTGTGGAAACTTGATGCTGTCATCCTCGTCATTGTTGTTGAGGCCCTTACCAGCAACTTCTGATTGAAATTTCAGTTTTGCCATTCCAGCAAGACCGCTTGACGTTCCACACCAAAAAGCTTTACGTGATCCTATCACACTGAGGAGTATGCTTGATGGATATACAAAGATTTCTCATCTGACTGTTACTTAGGAGTATCGGTACAGTTCCTTGTTCAAGGATGTCGCTGTTGGCGCTTGTTGGCGGAGCCACGTGGCACTTGAGGTGGAAAGTCCAGTTGACCTTGGCTCTCTCTCCATTGAACTTGGTCTCGGCCGGAATGCACTCATCGGAGATGAGGTTCGCTGGATTGCGTGCCAGCTGCCCAGAGCGTCTCTTCGGTTGCCATGAACCCTTCATGTCCTTCTTCATCCTCAACCCAAAAGCCTGCTTCTCCTTGTTCTAGGATGTTGCTGCGGTTGCCTCCTGGAGGTGATCCGTGCCAGATGTTCCTCAAAGTCATTGCGCTGATCAGTCTTTCTTCCTGCCAAACTGGCAGTTCACTCTGGATGACAAAGAACTGCGCAATGAGGTTGTCATTGAAGCGAAATACGTCGCTGTGTCTTGTCTGCGTGCCGTTAACGCACTGTCTCAGAACTTCTGGGTCGTCTGCGGCAAGTACACCTGGAGGCGGCGCCCTGGCACCGCCAGCTTGCTGACGCTGGACAGTTCTTTGCTTCTTGGACTGACGCAAGAAACTCGGGCGACTTCACCGTATAAACGGACATCAGGTCATTCCAGGATGCCTTCAGCCTCCTGAGGAAACTATCAAATTGTGGGTGTGAATTTGAGGAACTCCGAGCTCTGTCGGCGATGATTGATCAAAGATACACGCTGGTCTTTCCCTTCAGGAAGTATTTCTTCAGCGTGTTCTTGAAGTAGTTGACTCCTTCGGCGGGATCTTGAAGCAACTCGTTGTCAAGATCTCCCGTGAGCCTGCTTTTGAGGAGAGGTTTTGTCTTGGACAAGACAAGGTTCCTGGACCTTTTCCGTCGTGCACTGGAATAGGCCTCCATGAAACCTATTCCATCTGATGACATCTTGATTTGCATCTTCTACCAGACTCCGCTACCACAACGGAGTCCCAAACCGGAGGTGCTTCATTGGCCCCTGGATTTATGTTAAGAGCATCCAATGATGTCCCAACAATGGACGTAGGACTACTGGATGTCCCTGGTGAGGTTGTAGGAATTCTGTAAGAGCGTACCGCAAGGTTCCTTTTGTCCTCAATAGCGCAATGGCTAGGTTTAGTACAACTAAGAAAAGCCTTGGGCCAAAATGGTTGTGGGAAGATCAATGGTCTAATGAGAAGCAAAAGCAAACACAGAGGCAGTGTAAAACAAGTTTGGACGCGACTGGCAAAAGTGCACAAGGTGCTCTCAGACGCTGAGAAGCACCCCAAGGACAACTATAGCGAGAATTCAGACGCTGAGAAAGCAACCAACCTACCTACCTACCTACCTACCTACCTACCTGCCTGCCTGCCTGCCTGCCTGCCTGCCTGCCTACCTACCTACCTGCCAGGCCTGCCAGGCCTGGCAAGGTTAGCCCTGTGTCAGGGCTAAGCAAAAAAAGAATAGCACCCTTTCCAGCTGGGTTTGTGTAATCAAACTCAAAATGAGGAGCGATTTCGTGCCCAATTCAGTCCCGGAAACCAGCTGAACAAGCCACCTAGCAACAAGGAACCAACAAAGCAAGCAGAACCAACCAACCAGTCAACCAAACAACCAACCGCCCAACCACCCACCAACCGACCGACCAACCAACAACCAACAACCAGCCAGCCAGCCAGCCAACCAACCAACCTACCAACCAACCAACCAACCATCGAAGTAGCCAGCTTGCTAACCAGCCAACCAGAAGGATTCCCCAAACAAGAAGCACATTCATTTGCTGCGGCGGCCGACATCCAACAACAACTCGATTTCAACCGCTCCAGAATAAGCGCCAGGATGAGGCTGAGGACCGCCAGCACGCCTCGCCTGGGCACATGGCTTCTCTGGCGCTAGGCGTGGCGACCCTGGATGAAAGTGGAAGATAAAGAGTCAGACAAACAGTCAGACAGCCAGACAGTCAGGCAGCCAGTCAGACAGACAAACAATTGCGGACGGACAACGAAGCAAACAAGCAAGCAAACAAACAGTTGACGAAATCATCTTGACCCTTTTTTTGTGCCGCATTCTTTGCCTGGCCGCCTCTAGGCGATTGCTCAACGTCATTCATTCAGTCCTGGTACGCGAGCGCCAACCACTAATGTCAAGTACCGGGTGTACCCCTACCACAGTTTGTCCAAACTCCCTCTTCCGGGGCGCGTGACTATCCCAATTGTTTTCCCCATTTTTGCCGCTGTTTGAAGTCCACACGTTCTTGGGGCAGCTCTCACACAGCACAAACCCTTGCAGTCGACAACGACAACAACCGTAGGGGGGCTCAACGACAATTGTCCCGAACGCAGCTGGGAGGCCACATGTCCATCGGCCTGCCGTGTCGGGGCGCCTGGCAGCACAAAAGGCAAAGCCAACTTGCCCAATCCACTGCGCACGAACTTAGATGCCAATACATCTGTCGATCTATCTATCTGTACACATGTATATATATATATATGCGTGTGTGTTTGTTCTGTGAACAAAGAAAACACTGCAACATACGATGTTTCTTAATATTTTCTACATGCTTGGCCTGATTAGATTCTGACCAAATTCTGACCAGCGTTTGATCAGACCGAAGATGAAGCACGTGATGAAGCAGGCAACCTGGGTTTTTTAGCAGGTGTTGTTTAGCAAATGCGCTTTCTGGATGAGGCTTGCTGCTAAGATAAATAAGAACCTCTCAGAATTTTGTGCTGAGAAGCCCCTTAAAAACAAAGAAAAACCATAGCCCCACACAGTCTGGGCGTAGAACAGATTCAGGGCTAGGCTGTCAGGGCCTCTCAGCATTTCGTGCTTCCAGATACAGAAAACAAGGGGCCTCCCAGCTTTTTGCGGTTCCACATGCAAAAGATGCTGCAAGGTCCCTTGTTTCCAGCTGTCCAGATGCAGAAAGCAAGGGACCTCTCAACGTGTTCAAGATGCTGAGAAGTCCCTTGCATTCAGCTCAAAGTGATGAGAGGTCCTTAAAAACCACACCAAACCTAGTCCCACGCAGCCTTGCAGCGGTCTGCCGCATCTTGAGGCGCCGTCAAAGTTCGCGATGCTCGCGCACTTTTGCATCCGGGAGCAGGCGCAAAAGCTTGCTGCAGCCACTTGGCTCCTTCCTAGCAGCTGCTGCGGCCCAATGTCGCCATAAGCACAGATTTCTGACGGCGTGCCTGTCAGGAGAGCTGCTAGTGCTCTGTCAAGCCGCTCGACTCCGAGCAAGAGGGATTCGTTTGCAGGCCAGTCGGCTCTGAAACGGCAGGTTCAGGGTCTGCATTTTCTCTGAGAGGTTTCTAAACGACTTAAAAACCTAATCTTGACAAGGTGAGTAGCTGAAGGCTACTGGCGACTAGGTGTTTTAGTTTTTTGTTTTGTTTAGGGGTCTCTCAGCACTTTGCGCCTTTGACAGCTGAAAACAAGGGACGGCTCAGAATTTTGTGAGAGGTTCCTTGTTTGAGAGGTCCCTTGTTTTCAGCTTTCACCCAAAGTGGCTTTGGACAGCTGAAGCTTCAGGGAGACTGGCACTGAGACGTCACAGCATTCTGGGCCTTTGAAAACTGAAAGAAAAGGACCTCTCAGCGTGGTGCTATGCTTGAGGGCGCTTGCGCAAGGAAAATGCAATTCAGTTCGATAGGTGTTCACGCCTTAGGCTGCAAGGCTTTGATGAATATTTGCATTTTGAACAATATAGAATTTGAGTAGAAAGTTAATTGGAATTCTCAGTTTTAAACAGGAGTTTCTTTGCAAGCAGGATTTGAATAGCATTTAAGAAGTCTGTTTAATCAGATTTCTCATTCTGATTTAGATATTCAACTGAACGTCTTTCCAAGTAGGATTCTAACTGCAATTTAAAAAGGGCTCTAAAGGAAAGGCAACCTGTTTGTTCCTTCAATTTGCCTGTCCCTTAAAAGGAATGAACAACCTATAGAAATCCAGAGAAAAAGCAATTTCAGTTCTATTGATATACAAGTGTTAAATTGCGAGGCTTTAAGTTTAAGTATGTTTTTTTGGAATAAACATTAACATGGTCATTTTAAATTGGATGAGTTCCTTTGCAAGAAGGATTTGAATGAGAATTCAAATAGAACCTAGTGAGGAAAAACACACTGATTGCTTCCGCTACTGTACCTGCAAAACATGTAGAAACTCAAGGAAAGCGCAATTTCAGCAAGCATGACAATGCAATTACAAGGCTTCAAGTCTCAGAAGGACTTTCATCGGAAATTGGTTAGAATTCTTATTTTACATCCAATTAGGATTTAAACAGACCCTAGTGCAGAAAGACAAGCGGGTTGTTGCTTGTAATTTGCCTGCCCTTAAACAAAATGAAAACCGTAATTTCAGGCTTTTCCCAAGGACACATTTGAGGCCACTACATGAGTCACTATATATCAAAGGCATCTGATGGGTCCCAGGAAAGGGGTAGCACACATACAAATTTATACATGCATATATACATATATATATAAATAGCTGCCCCCTGAAAGGGACAAAATGTTGAATAAACATGCGCTTTGAAGAACGAGGCGCGGATCACGGGAGGGGGGTGAGCACACACACATCTATATATATATATGTGTGTGTGTGTGTGTGTGTGCGCGTGCGTGTGCGTTGGTAATGTGAACAAGTTGATATGTTTCCTCTAAATTTCCAATGAGACCATCAGAGCATCTTCGGAAACAGCAGGCCTTTTCGATGATCTGCCTTGGCTCAGGCGTTCGGCTCTTATTTTGTTACATGCAAAAAAAGGAGGAAAAAAAGGAACCCAACACACACACACACAAAAAAAAAATGAGTTGGCCCAACATGTCGTCAAAACCAAAAAAATGGCGCATGAGGAACCCGACATGCAACAAGTTCTGCTATCTACTTTCTTGCACAAGCCGTCCCACACTCCTACCACGAAAGCCCACTCCCATTCGGGCGGCGCCGCGCCTGGGATTTGGGGACTAAGCCGCTAATGACGAAATGCCGCCGGGCCGTCTGCAGCGAAGGGAACTCCTCGTGGGCCAGGCAATTGGCAAGCCGCCTTCAAGCGCAGAAAGCGTGCTCTCTCACCCCACCCCCAACTGCTTTAAAAGGTGAGGGGACCTGATCCACGGATTGCTTTCATTGTGCCAAAGGAAAGTTCTCTTAGTTGCGACGGTGCATGCTGTGCTCAGAAACGCTCCTCGAAGGCATCAATCAATACCACGTCACCAGCGCAAAGCGGATCCCGTGGTGACAAAGGCTGTGCTTGCTCCTGAAGGTCAGAATTTGGCGGCGACACGGGAGGGACGGATGACATGGGAGGAACGGATCACACCAAGTCCTTACCTGCATTGCAGGCAGGCCCAGGCTGGGAAGAGCCACGCCTACCACACCTGAACATACACCTGCAAAGTACAAAATGACTGCAAATGACTGCCTTGAGCAGTAGCTTGCCCTTGCCATCGGGAGAAAGTTGGCTTTCGCTTGTTGTAGAAATGTCATTTCTTACCAAGGAGCTGACCTCCCAAACCATCAGGCACTCATGTTGTTCATAGCTCAACTGCTGACTGGATCAACTGGAACAGTCCGGTCCCCGGAAAGCGTCCCCCGCCCTTCAGGCCCTCTCCGTTTTGCCTTTTTCATAAATTTAGCTCCTGAGGACGCCAGGCAGCCAACGGGTATCCCCTGAACACCCGCACGCACCAAGGGATGGCCTCAGCCACTGCACTTGCGCTGGCCCCAAGTCTTCACATGGACCACTTCCCCAATTTGACCTCAAAGTTGTCCATGAACGAGTGAGTGTTGACAATCCGGTAGCCACTAAATTCAAAGTGGAGTTACACTTGGCTATGTCTCAAAATGAGACTGATTCCTTTATGAGCTACCTTTTAGATCAGCCAGTTCATGTCAATTCGATGGGTTTGGGCCTGGCTGGTAGGGCTCTCCAGGTAGCCAAAGGAACTACTCGTTTTGGGGGCGCACTTTCAAACCCCAAACCAAAGGATTACTTGAGTATCCATAAGTTTGGATTGCACAAAACACTTACCAGATTTAGAAAGCAGAAGGATGGGCTTGTGAGGGCCAAGACACGCACTCCGACTCGTCGCCTTCGGGAGGAATCCCCAGGATCTCCTGGCCGATGGCATCGTGGCTTTCTTGGAAGGGCTGGGACTTTTTGATACCTTCCGCTCTTTGCTCTCGCAACACATCATCGTTGGGGCCGCCTCGTGTTTTGAGTTGATACCTCTGTTTCGGGCTGGGCCACTGCCGAAAACCAAACGGCACAGCACCGCACAATTAAAAGGCTAGCTGAACCCCCACACATGGAGATCTCCAGGCTCCCATTGTTCACGCCCGAAAAAGTTGCACCTGTGGAATTGGATGCCCAATAAGCATCGCCCAACCACCCAAAAGGACCCACTTTGAAGTGACAACCAAAAGGCGATGATTGAAACATCAAAAGGAATGGAGCAGTGTAGCAGAACTCTGTGTACTTCGTAGGTCAAAAGGCATGTCCTCCAAGCTTTTGCCAACCAGCCCGCTTGCAGAAGCAACTACCTGGGCTGAATGGGCGCTGTAGGGGCTGAGACGAGTCTTGCAAACAGTTTCATACCTCCCCACCGCTTCAACCCCAATCCCATCAGTCTGAGTGCTGGGTGCGTCAACCTTGGCAACTTGGGTGAAAAAGCTACCCGAGCGGCGCTTTCGTAGAGTCTCCGATCATGGCGGCGGCCGCCAAGGAAGCGGTTGCAACGAAGTCCTGCAGCTTCAGTGGTCCAACCCGTACACGGCGACACAAGGTGAGAGCCAATTCTTCCGAGAAGGAAGGGGCAACCTGCCTGCGAAGGGCTCACAACTTCTGGACAACTGCCTACAGCAGGGCAGCTGAAGAAGAAATGCCACCTGAACTTTCCGAGGGGGACTAGATGGGCCAGTGCCATTGGTGTGCATGGTTTTCAGACAATGGACAAGGGCCTTGATTGTTTGAATGCTGATCTAGAGTTGAGGCTGGGTTCTGACCTAACAGTTACTCACAGCCACTGATAGTCAGCAAAAGCCCTATGGCTCTGAACCAGACATGACTTGCAGAGTATTCGGCTGAAACGACCCCACCCAAACAGTAGCGCTCCCCGCATTGCGAAAACGCCGTGGTGGCTGCGCATGGCGCAAACGCCGGCTGCGGAGCATCCTCAGAGTGCTACCAAAAGCCTGTATCTCTCGGTGCCATCTAGCTGACATAAGATAAGTGCTGCCAAAGATGTGCATGACAAGGGTACCTAGAACTCCCAACAAGCTAACTCTGCCAGGCTTTTCTTAGCTATTCCTCAACGACACGCAGACTTGAAGCTGCTTTCGACCCTCTCTTTCCAATAATCATGGCAGGATTGGTTTGGAGGACTACCAACCTCTTGAACAGGATCCTTGATGTTCCTTGGTGCTTGCTCAAAGGGCCTTGAACCCGAACAATTCCAAGATTGCATTCTGGCCCAAGCAGCTTGCTGTGATGAGATCGCCCACGTCGATGCACCAGTCTTCCATATCATGACCCGAGGCCGAGGAACAGCACGGAGCGCCATCGTTGGAAAGCAGCCTGCAGGGCTCGGAGTCCCAACCGATGCGCTCTGGACTTTAAGCTGGATCCTCCGTGACCACGAAGCAAAATCACTACCGAGCATGAGGCCCCTTCGCACCTGTCAAACAAATGTGTTCATGTCTGCCTGGTTGCACACGTGAAACTGCGATCACTTTGCCAAGAGCCTCCTGCCGAGCTTTCCCGCAGCCAAGGCCATGCACCCGCCGGGCCTCGACACTCGGAGGACGCGCACGTTGGACAGGTTCATCAGTCCGGCGGAGCGTGGCGTGTGTCCGCAGATCAGTGAACCTCGCACCACCGTGAAGTCGATCTCCTTAGTCCCGAACCGGGAGGGAAATTTTGTTCCAGGCACGATGGCAAACAGGCCAACATGCTCAGGGCAGGGCATAGAGCTGTTTCTCCTTGGCAGCCGAGGGCAAAAAGCGTACAATTCCGCCTTTCATAAGCAAACTTCCAAACAGTTGCACACAGCTCCACTGAGTTCCCCCAACACCCGATGCCAAAACCTTGCGAGCCAAAGCAAGATCGCATCCCACATGTCAGGGTACACGTGTGCGTGCAAGCGTCGGGCGGCTCTGCACGGCCCCCCGTTTCCTGCAGCGCGGTCATGATCAAAACTTGAAATCAATCTGAAGGGCTTGCTATGCCTGCCTCAAGTCATGGAAGGAATTCAAAGGCCGTAAATAGGTACACTGCATAGGTTGGGACTACCCCTGCTACACTTCAACTACCCAAGTTTGATGGTGGATCACCTTCAAATCGCTCCAATTCTCCCACCTTCGGCCCCTGGTTCATACCGCCGAGTTCTTGATCAGAAGCCGTTTTCGCAATCAAGAAACTGCAATCCCTTTGTGCGTGCAGTGCTCGTTCTCTGAAGAAGGGGGTGGAATGTCCTTGGTTACATGCGGGTTTGCGTCTTCTTGCGAGGGTGTTCTCAACAAAAAGCGCAGCCCGTTTTGGTGAACTCTATGAATGAAGCCGGAATGGGCAAGTGTTGGCGGTTCGGGCTCCAAAGGTGTCATGACTTCACCCCTTCCACACCTTCCCCCTTGGCTGTGAGTGATGCGACAGACCTCGAGCTCCACTTCCAACCAGGGCTGGTTCCGCCGGCGAGCGGCCTGGGCGCGGGGTGGGGAAGTGCACTCCAAATGGTAACTCACAAACAAGTCCGTATATTTTTCTGGGAGGTCCCAGATTCAATTGCAATTCTTGCCCACTGAAGGGGAAGGGAATGCAATTCCAGCGCGGTGTCCTCATGCTCCCCTTTGCATGCTGGAGGATGGTTTCCCGACATACATTGCACAAAACGGCAACACGTCACGCCGCTACCACGCTAGGGTGGATGAGCAATCATGGAGCGTGTACCTTGCTTCCATCTCAGGCTGCGGTAGCAGCTTTTGAGGAGTGGCGTTTATCAATTTGCGTCCCCTAGAAGATGTCGCACGCTTGCGTTGGTCTCGCAAATATACCAGCGCATTGCACCGTCTGCATCAAACAGCAGTCTCCCACGGCGCTTGTAAAAAAGGCAAAATCGTCTCTGCGTCGGGCCTCTGGCTTCGGGTTGCCGTCCTTCCTGGAAAGGTAGTCGCCCATGAACACTGCATAGAGGCCCAGTACGGCCGCATTTGCTAGAGCCTTCGGAGGCGTCAGACTGGGACGGGCCAATCGCCTTAGCCCAACGTTAGGTTCATCCCTCATCGCCAGTTCTGCTTACGCAAAAACGGCCCACTTAGAGTTGGCATTTATCCCAGAAGTTCAACGAAGCAACCACTGTGGATCTTGCCCATTTAAAGTTTGAGAATAGGTCGAAGACAACGCATCCCCGATTCCTCTAATCATTCGCTCTGTTTCACAAGCACAGTGAAACACAGCCTTAGGCAGCGGGTCGAAACATGCATTCTGTCCAAATAGCCACCGCAAGGAAATGTGAATATGGACTCCAGGCTTGTCCAACCAAAGCAACGGCAGGCATGTCCAGCCAGACTGAAACATCGGGACAGCAATAGACAACATTTTGTAAGTACCGAAAATGCCCCCCGCCAGCGGCGTCTGCGCATGGAGTTCCAGGTCCGGTCTGCCGGTTCTCCTGCGCGTCAGGTTGCTACAAGCTGGAGCGCAGGTTGCTCTTCTGCTACCTTGCCTTGCCCCTGGACCGGCCGAATAAGACAGGGGGAGGGACAAAAACAGGGGGCCAACCGGCAGCCCAACAATTGCTGCTGAACTGCTCCTGGCAACGACTTGGTCTCATGCAATCAGCTTCTGAGCCCGTCACATCAGATCCCGGACGGCGATGGAAGCAGGGTTGCTCGTGACAAAGACCGAGTTGCCGCATGTTGCAGCCACAACCATCATCCTTCGGCCGGGCCACAGCAACTAAGCCCTAACAAACAGGGTCTTTGGCTGTAGATGACCCAACGAACACACAAACACACAAACACAAACACAAACACAAACACAAACACACAGACAAACACAAACACAGACACAGACACAGACACAGACACAGACACAAACACATAAACACACAAACACGCAAACACGCAAACACACAAACACAAACACAAACACAAAAACAAACACAGATATAAACACAGACACAGACACAGACACAGACACAAACACACAAACACACAAACACGCAAACACGCAAACACGCAAACACACAAACACACAAACACACAAACACACAAACACACAAACACACAAACACACAAACACACAAACACACAAACACACAAACACACAAACACACAAACACACAAACACACAAACACACAAACACACAAACACACAACACACACACACAAACACACAAACACACAAACACACAAACACACAAACACACAAACACACAAACACACAAACACACAAACACACAAACACACAAACACACAAACACACAAACACACAAACACACAAACACAGACACAAACACGCAAACACACAAACACACAAACACGCAAACACACAAACACACAAACACACAAACACACAAACACACAAACACACAAAACAAAACCTGACTGGTTCTCCCCAAGCTTCAAGAGCAGCGGTCTAAGCTTGAAGTCGTGGGATTTTGCCCACTGGATGATCACTGGCGTGGAGGTGGCAATGGTGGTGGAGCCCCCCACAAGGGCCTCGGAGTTTTGACACTCGCAAAAACGGCCTTTGCATCAGCACAACTCGGAACCTGTTTAAGAAGCTGCGTGTCTGACCGCGAGCTTCCTCGACGGCGACGGCGAGGCTCCGTTACCAAAAAGCCCTGAGCGTCCTCGCCCCCAGACGGCCCTGCCGCCTCGGTCCTTTCACTCCATGTGGTCCACTCTGAGCCCTTCGGTAATCGGAAAGGAAACCCCGAATCGGAAACGCAGGAGCCCAGGATTGTGATGAAAAGGCCCTGAGGGGCAAGACTACAGAGGCCGAAGCTCAGGGATGCAAGGCATCACCCGATCAATTGGCGCACCTTGCTTAACCGGTCGAGTTCGGGTCAAATAAGAGGCTGTGGAAAAGTAAACGAATTACCCATACCATACGCTGAGACAAGGAAACATATGAGCTCTTCAGCGCCAAGCTTTCAGCTGCGCAAACTGGGTTCCGCCAGGTTTCTCCTGCTAGGCTTGGTGCAGCCAAAACGGCCTGCTTTGGATGAGGGAGTCACCACAACCAGACTCGCTTGGTGGCCTCCAAGAAGGTGGTCCGCAACCTGATGATAACTACCGACTTTGAACCATGCGTTGCATTTCTCTCACATCTGGGACCTAGAAGGAAGGCAGGGGCAGGGCAGGGCAGGGCAGAGCAGGGCAGACAGACAGGCACGCCCCCAATCTGCCAGTTCGGTCCCCTCCTATCCCCTGTGTCTGCAGCCTAAAGCTGCCAACGCGGTCCACGCGTCAAAACCAACAACTCCCTCACAGCAGTCATGGGTAGCTGCCCACTAGCCTTGCTGCATGCCAAAACGAAGTGCCCGCCCAGCCATCCTGAGGTCCTTAGGACCTTGTAGAAAGGTTCTCAGAGGGTTCTGAGGATTGAGAACCCTTCTGCAAGGCATCCCCCCTTAGCAATACCAAGGCTCCCCCAGGCAAAGCGTTGCGCAATAGAGTCGCACCCGCGGAAGGCTGCCTGAGCGGTTCACTAGCTCCCCCACTTCTCTGTAGTAAATCTTGCCACAGCACGTCGGAAATGTCTACCCGGCAATTGGCCGACATGCCAGCGCGAGTATCGGCCAGCCTTGTTTGGGATTCCGCCCCAACATCCAGAGCAGGGAGAACTGCAGGATTCCTCAGGGTGGGCTGGCTTTGGATACAATTGGCGCCCCCCGAAAGCCGAACATTTACCAGATCAGCATTCTTGTTTGGATTAATCCGAAGCTAATGTCAATCAGCACTCCCAACCCCCCCCCCTCCCCCAACCCAATCCCAGGCGAGATCCTCCAGTTTCAGCTTGGATATCCCCTCTTCTACGTTCAAGCTACAACCCCCCCCCTTGCTGGGGGAGAACGCCACAGCATGGACATCCGAGGGACCAGGGAGGAGCCCTGAAAGAATGCACATTTGATCTCACATCGCTGAGCAAGCAACAGAGCTTGCCATCGATTGCTGCTCTGCGCGCGAGAAACCTTTGAACATCACCACCGCATGGATCGAATGTAAAAAACCAAGCAAATGCGATGATGCCCCTTCCGGGGCCCAACAACTGCTCGCAGCCGCGCCCAAAAACCGGAAATGAACCTAGAAACCCACCAGCCACCCCCCAAAAAAAGGTGTTCAGCCCTCGCGAAATCTCTCCTGAGTCGCGGATGCCGCGGATGATCACCAACTGAAGCTGCGGAAGCCAAGGTCCCACCCTCAGCACCACGTCAGCTCCGGTCCCTGGTGGTTTCCTTTTGGCAAAAAAAATGCCTAAAGGGGCCTCTCCCCCGCCGGCCATTCACACACACGACAAAGTTGATGGCTAGGTCTTGAAGGACAATCATAGCTTCCTTCCAAAGCGCGCAGCTCACAGTTCGGAGTTTTCACACCAAAGCGTCCGAGCAAAGCCACGCAGGATGTCGACCTGGTCAACCAAGCCAAATACCGCGAGGACTACGAGGTAGCCGGTAAACCTTGCAATTCCCAGCTAACACTTTGAAACTTCAGAACTTCAGCGCAAGTTGCCCGAGAAACCGCATCTCTCAGAGGGTGCCCTTTGCCAGTGTCCTTCTCCATGCTTCACTAAAGCGTGCGGAGCATGTGTGGGTGCAAAGTGGCCACAGCGGACTGTTGGAGATGTGATCCGTGGACCGGTCACCCAGCTAGCGGAAGCTTGAAAGTCGCTGCTGGAAATATGCCACGCCTGTTGCTGACAAGATGCACGAAGGAAGACCTCACTCCGTTCAGAAGATGCGTCAATCCAAACACCAGGGCCAGAAGTGTCCTGGCAACCCCCGCAAGGCAATCTCCCACCTTCGGTGGCGGGGCGAAAGTGGGATTTCATTTCAAGAGACTCAGCGTCTGTCCCGTAGGCAGCTTCGACGGGATAGCGGAAATCGGGATTGCCCGCCATGCAGCTGGGACGGATAAACGCATCCGTCAGGGCCTTGGGCTTTTGCCCACATAGCGCCGGAGGCTGTGGGCTTTTGAGGGGCCCCCGTCGCTGATGATAGAGGCCGCATGGCATGGCTTTGGACAAGCACGGCGACGCAAAGCAACTGAAACTAAGGAGCGCACACACGAGCACATGGCAACGACGTTCACAACGAGGAGCCATCGAGGGAAGAGCGCCTGCAATTTCTCGTTTGTAGCCTCACGTCTGCGAAGTCAACACGTCCCGCGCTCTGTGAAACATCAGCCCGAAAAGACAGAAAAGTGTAGGGCTCCGAAGGGAAACTGGCATCTTGCTCGCTGGGCCCAGCCACAACACCAAAAGTATAAGTTCGCCTGGTGTCGGCGCTGCCTTGGCGAGAAACCAAAGGGAAGCCCGCCAGTATTGTTGGACGGTATGCTGTTGCAAGACTGGCTTAAACGGAAAACCACAGGGACACCTACAACTTTTTTTGGAAGGATACTTTGTTGCGGGCTGGCCCAACGGAAAACCAAAGGTAAACCTACTAGTTTGGTTGGAGGGGTATTCTGTTGTGGCTTGGAAAAACGGAAAACCCGAACGGAAACCTACCAGTTTTGTTGGAGGTCCGTCATCCGTGCCACGCTGCAGGGCTGTTGCGGGCTGGCTTGGCGGGAAGCTGAAGGGAAACCTACAACTATTGTTGGAGCTCTATCTTTTCTGGGTTGACTGAACGAAAAACCGAAGGTAAACTCATCACGTTTGTTGGAGGGCTACTCTGTTGTGGGTTGGCTTCGCTTCTGTTGGAGGGGTACTCTGTTGCGGGTTGGCTTAGCGGAAAACCAAGAAAACCTACAAGTTTGTGTTGAAACCGGAAAACCTACCACCTTCTGTCGGAAGGGGCACTCTGTTGTGGGCGCAGGAAACAAAAGGGAAACCTACGACTAAGCCGGTAAGTTGCGTAGAACTTTTCAACCCAGGCCTTGCCCTTGTCAAACTCCAATCCTTTTAAAGAGTCTAGGCCTACCACTGTCACAGGCACAGGCCTTTTTTGCGCCTACCTAAAACACGGCACTGCTCAAACCTTGACTTGTCCAAAGTCGTTTGTTTGTAAGGCCTTCCTCTCACAGGAAAGTTTAAGGCAGAAACCTTCCCAGGCCTTGTCCATAGGAGAGACCTCTGAAAGGAAGCAGAATGAACGCCTACAGCCTTCTCAAAGGACAAGCTTCCTGAAAAGCAAAGCCTGCTTACAGGTCAAGCGTTCCAAGCAAGCCAAGGGCAAAGCCTTCTTGCAGGTCAAGCCTTCTAAGGCAAGCCTTCTTGCAGGTCAAGCCTCCTGCACGCTTGCCTGAGAGAGGTAGGTCTGCAATAAATCAACAGGAGCCCAGGCCTACCTTCTTCGGAGGAGCGACGGGCCAGAAGGAATGATCCTAGTCAGGCGCTGCTTTGCGGGCTGCCTGCAGGTCAAGCCTTCTAAGCAAGCCTTTTGCGAAGAAAATTTGACCTGTAAGCAAGCTTTGCGACGGCGTTGTACACGGCTTGACCTTTAGAAGGCTTTGCCCTTTAAACGGCTTGACCTAGGCTCGTAGAAGGCTTGACCTGCAAGCAGCAGCAAAGCAGCTTGAACATTCCTTTCAGACTGTTGCTCCTCCGAGATAGGCCAGGGGTGGATTCCTTCTGAATGATTTCAGACCTACCTCCTGTCAGTGCTGCCGCCGATAGGTCGGCCTGCACTGGTGTGAGCCTCCATGAAGCTTTCTGCGTCTGATGACACCCTGACAATGATCTGTTACCACAAAGCCCCGTACCGGAGACAACTAATCCCTGAAGGAAGAAACCGTGTCCAATGGACTCAATTGTCCTGGAAGCCCCTTGTATATGTATTGTGAGTGTCACCGGGAGCAGCGAGTGCAGCGAGCTCTTTTTCTATGCCAAGTATAAACTGTGAGTGTCGGAAAGGGGCCAATATGTATACGTGATACACGTGATTGCCTAAAGGTCAATGGTCTGCAAGACTCACAGAACCCCCCACCCCCCCCCCCACCCCGTGCAATCGGAAAGCATCCGTCTCCACTTCGGGCAGCTTGACGGGGCGCTGGAGGCTGTCCAGCAAATGGAACGCGTGCAGCAGCTCGGCCTTTCAAAGCGCAGATCGTACCAATAATCAGGTTTGGACCACCCCACAACGGCGGCTTTCCTCTTCCTGAAAAGGGTACAAACCAAAAAAATATTTACAGAAGTCCAAGTTTGGTGGGGAGCTGCCGGTTGAGTTCAATGTCCATTGGCAGGGGAGTGACCAACCGAACTGGACTTTGCTGTTCTGCACCTCCATGTTGGGGTCTTCTGCCGCTGACGCCGAAGAAGCCGCCGCCATGAGCTGCAAAGTGGAGGGGAAAAGGGGGGCGCCATCGCGGCCTTCGAAGGCCAGGCCACCGGAGCCAAGGCACTGCAAATTGTCCAACAGAATGCTTTCCACCCCCAAACGACTGCCCAAGGTTTGATGGGATGTACAACCAGTACAAACTTTTTGGCCAATATGGAGCCTACCCTGCGAAAGGGTTCTGCCACGCCAAATGCTTCGGCCCCATCGTGTGCCGTCATACGTGCCATAGTCAAACCCAAAATGTTGGCGCGATCATACTTCCTCTTACACATTCCCTTTGATTGCTCTGAAGCCACCCTGAAAAGAGTGGTTTCAACAAAACAAGCGCCGGCCAAGCTTGCAGTCCACAGCTGCATCTCTGACCTGAAATTGGGGCAATTATGTCTACTGCGTGTTTCTCGAAATGGTGGACCCCCCTTTGCTTGGTGTTTCCAGAGAAGTTAAAAGGAAACCTATCATTTTCGGGTCCCCCAAAGCCCATATCTACGAAGCGTGTCCCAAGAACAGCATCCCGAGGCTTTGGCCAGCTGGATGAACACATTCCTGTTCCCCCGGCTGCCACTGCGCACCGGCCCAGAAGTTCCTCAGATCGAGCCAGCCGCTTGCAAAAGCCAAGGAGACAAAGCTTCTCTTGCCATCGGGGAAAATGTTAATGTAAAAATATGCAAATATATGAACATATGAAGACATACACAACATAACATGACATTGACATGACATCACTACACTACATTACAGTACGTAACATCACATCACATCACGTTACGTTGCATTACGCACATACATACATAACATACATAAGTATGCATTACATTGTAATACCTTACCTTACCTTACATGACATTACCGTATCTTACATTACGTACATACATACACACATTACCTTACATTACATTACAGTACAGTACAGTGCAGTACAGTACATTACATACATGCATACGTACATACATTTCATTACATTACATTACACTATATTACATTACATTCCATTACATTACAGCAAAAGACATTACATTACATTACATTACATACATACATACAAATACACATGACATTACATTACATTTTATCAAAGCACAGCACAGTACATTACATTACGTTAAGCTACGCTACATTACATGCATACATACATACATACCTACATCCCTACATACATACACACATACATACATACATATATACATAAACACATACACTACATTACATTACATACATGCAGGCATGCATGCATACGTACATACATACGCACATTACCTTACATTACACTACATTACAGCACAGCACAGCACATTACATACATGCAAACGTACATACATACACACATTACCTTACATTACATTACATTACATTACAGCACAGCACAGCACATTACATACATGCATACGTACATACATTACATTACATTACTTCATTTTGCATTACATTACATCACATCACATTACATTGCACAACATTACATTTCACATACATACACAACATACATACGTACATTACATTACATAATTTCATTACATTAGATTACGTTAAGCTACATTATTACATTACAGCACATACATACATACATTACATGCATACATACATGCATGCCCACATACATACACACATACATACATACACACATACATACATACATACATAGATACATACATACATACACACATACATACATACATACATACATCCACACATTACCTTACACTACATTACATTGCAGTACAGTACAGTACACTACATACATGCATACGAACATACATTACATTCCATTACATTCCATTACATTACATTACAATACATTACATTTCATTACATTGCACCGCATTACATTACATTACATTACATACATACATGACATACATACATTGCATTGCATTGCATTGCATTGCATTACATTACATTACATTACATTACATTACATTACATTACATTACATTAAATAAATACATATTTACATTACATTACCTTACATTAAATTACATTACATTACAGCACAGTACGTTACGTTACATTCCATTCATACCTACATACACACATTACATACATACATACCTGCCTACCTACATACCTACCTACATACCTACCTACATACATACACACATACATTCATACATGAATACATACAAACATTACATTACAAGACAATACATTGCATTGCATTGATGCATGCATGCATACATACATAAATACATAAACGCATTACCTAACATTACATTACATTACATTGCAGCACAGTACAGTACATACATACCAGCATACCTTAAATTACATTACATTACATTACAGTACATTACATTACATTACATCACACTACATTGCATTGCATTGCACCACATTACATTACATATATACATAACATACATACGTACATTACATTACATTACATTACATTACATTACATTACATTACATGACATTACATGACATTACATTACATTACATGACATTACATTACATTACATTACTACATACATATATACATTACATTACATTGCATTACATTACAGCACAGTACGTTACGTTACGTTACATTACATTCATACATTACATGCATACATACCTACCTACCTACACACCTACATACATACACACATACATACATACATACATACATAAACACATACATACAGCACATTACAATACAATACATTGTATTGCATGCATGCATGCATGCATGCATACATACATTCATAAACACATTACCTTACATTACATTACACTACAGTACAGTACAGCACAGCACAGTACAGTACACTACATACGTTCATACGTACATACATTACATGACATTACATTACATTAC